ATCATGGTCCTAATGGCACTCTTCACTACCTTCATCACCACACCAGTTATGATGAAGGTATATAAGCCGGCAAGGCGAAGAAGGGACTACAAGCATAGGACCATTGAGAGAAAAAGTGCAGATACTCAACATAGAATATTGGCCTGTTTTCAGTGTAAGAAATATCCCACCTGTTAGAATATATGTTCAATATATTTTATTTATAGTGTGTATCATTAGTTTGGAATGTATATCTTTGTTTCCTTAATTGTAGCCTAATTGATATCTTGTAATCTCCTTAATTGTAGCCTAATTGATCTCTTGTAATCATGTATATATTCCACGGTTTAGCAATGAGAAAACGCAAGATTCAATCTCTTTCATGGTATCAGTTAGGGTTTCTATTTTTTGGTTTCTCTCCTAATATTCAGCCCTACTTTCTTCCTCTGCCTATCTTTCTTCTTTCTTCTTCCGCTGCACTACTCTTTTCATGGCTGAAACACCAAAATTTCATCCAGCTTTGACCATCACCAATGTTAAGTCTCTTGTTCCCATCACGTTGGACGCCGATCATGGAATGTATCACTCTTGGGCCGCCCTTTTTAAGGTGCTTGTTAGGGTTCACGATCTCCATAATCATATTATTCCTCCTACAGAGGCGATGGAGAAGGCTGAATATGAAGCCTCTATAGCCGCTGATCCTGCTCTTTGGAAACGGTTGGACGCTGTAGTCCTTCAATGGATCTATGGAACCATTTCCGCGGATCTTCTTCATGCTATTCTTCTCAAAGACGACACTGCTCATGGTGCTTGGGCTCGTCTCGAGTCTATGTTTCAAGACAATAAAGCCTCACGAGCCTCTCATCTCGAACAAGAGCTTGCTGACCTCGACTTTGAGAATTTCTCATCAATTGATGGCTATTGTAATCACATCAAATCACTTGCCGATCGTCTCGCTGATGTTGATGCTCCGATTCCCAACAGCCGGCTCATTCTCAAGCTCACAGCTGGGCTCCCAGAAGCTTATGCCGGGACCGTGGATTTCATTCAAAATCAAGAACCTCTGCCTTCATTCGAAAGTTGTCGATCTCGTCTAAAATTGGCTGAGCGGACCATCAAAAACCGCCTAGCTAAGGAGGGAGGTTCCACCAACCGCCCACAGAAGGTCCTTGTCTCAACCTCCACCACCCAGCAGAACACTGACGGCTCCCGTTCGAATTCCAGAAACACTAAGCAAAAAAAAGACCAAAAATTCTGGAAAAGGACGTAATGCTAATGGGCCAACCCAACAGCAATCTGGGCAGGCCTCTGGACCAACATGGCAGCATCAGGGTCAATATTCTTGGCCGGCATCCTGGACCCCGTGGCTAGCTCAATGGCCCAATCCTCCCTGCCCATATCCAGCAGCTTCATGGGCTCCTAGACCAGCTGCTACCCCCTCCGGTACTAGGCCTCCTAGGCCAGGTATTCTGGGCCAACGTCCACAGGCTTATAGTGCCATGGTCCCTTCATACACACCTACGGATATTGAGGCGGCTATGCATGCTTTCTCAATTTCGCAACCGGATGGGAATTATTATATGGACACTGGAGCTACATCTCATATGACAGCGTACCAAGGTATTCTTTCATCTTATGTCAATTCGAGCATTAAAAATAATAACATTGTTGTTGGTAGTGGACATTTAATTCCAATTGTCGGTCACGGTAGTACTACTTTGCCCTTCCCGTACCCTCCATTTACCTTAAACAATGTGTTGCATGCTCCAAAATTAATTAAGAATTTAATATATGTCCGTAAGTTCACAACTGATAATATGGTTTCGGTTGAATTTGATCCCTTTGGATTTTTTGTGAATGACTTACAGACGAGAGCCAAACTAGTGAGATGTGACAGTACCGGTGACCTTTATCCAATTTTTTCAAACACTCAAGCCACTTCTCCTGTCAATCATTCCGCCTTTACTGTTGTTTCTTCAGATCTCTAGCATAATCGCTTAGGACATCCTGGTGCTGCTGTTCTTAGGTCTCTAAGTAGTAAAAAATTTATTGATTGTAATAAGGCTTGTAAAACTTATTGCTCCTCGTGTCCTCTCGGGAAACACTCAAAGTTACCTTTTTATGACTCTTTGTCGTCTACTGCTCTTCCCTTTGATATTGTTCATAGTGATCTATGGACTTCTCCCATTGCTAGTTCTTCTGGCCACTGTTATTATGTCTTATTCCTTGATGATTACAGCAAATTCTTATGGACATTTCCTATTGCAAAGAAATCTCAGGTTAAACACTTATTCATATCCTTTCATAGACTTGTCCGAACTCAATTTGAACGTAACATTAAGACTTTTCAATGTGACAATGGCACAGAGTATATTAATGGAACTCTTAAAGAATTTTTTGATCACCATGGCATGATGTTTCGTCTCTCATGTCCTCACACATCTCCTCAAAATGGAAAAGCCGAATGACACATAAAATCAATCAATAACATCATCCGGACCTTACTTGCTCATGCTTCCTTGCCCATCTCTTTTTGGCATCATGCTTTAGAAATGACCACATACCTCCTAAACATACTCCCAACCAAAGTCTTAGGTTTTAAATCTCCCACTCAGATTTTATATCAATGTGATCCTATCTACTCGGATTTGCGCGTCTTTGGTTGTCTATGTTTTCCTTTGTTTCCTTCTACTTCTATCCACAAATTGCAAGAAAGGTCCACCCCTTGTGTCTATCTTGGCCCCGCGCCAAATCATCGAGGTTCAAAGTGCTATGATATGTCAAATGAAAAAATCATAATATGTCGACATGTTAGATTTGTTGAAAATGAATTCCCTTTTTCCAAACTTCACACGCCACATTCACATGATTATGATTTTCTGGATGCAAATCCTTTAAATTACTTCCACCATTTGCAAAGCACCCAACCCTCCTTTCCTCAACAGCAGCCCATTGCTACTCATGAACAGTCCGACACATCTCCCTCCTCCAGGTCCTCTTCTTCACCTGGTACTGTCACACCCCAAACCGAGAGCTCCCAGTAGCCCAGTCCACTTTCCTCACCCCCTATGTCACAAACTAGACTGAATTATCAGCCCCCACCTTTGCTGCATACTGCCCCACACCACCCTGCGCCCAACAGCCCTCCTCGGCATCCTGCTACCCCATCTCACCAAATGACCACCCGAACAAAAAATGGCATCATCAAACCAAACACAAAGTACTTTCACAATCTAAACACGATGACCACCCCTAACATCTCCCCTATTTCAAAGGACCCTATTAGTGCTATTCGTGACCCGAATTGGAACAGTGCAATGTTAGATGAATTTAATGCTCTTATTGCTAATCATACATGGGATTTGGTACCAAGGCCCCAAGACGTGAATGTTATTAGATCTATGTGGATTTTTCGTCATAAAAGAAAATCTGATGGTTCTTTTGAGCGGCATAAAGCTCGTCTTGTAGGTGATGGCAAGACACAGCAGCAGGGTGTTGATTGTGATGAGACTTTCAGTCCAATTGTAAAACCGACAACTATTCGTACTGTTCTTAGCATTGCTCTCTCTCACTCTTGGCCCATACATCAATTGGATGTCAAGAATGCTTTCTTACATGGTTATCTCAACGAAACAGTTTATATGCATCAGCCAATGGGTTTTCGCGACAAAAGTCGCCCTGATCATGTATGTCTATTAAGGAAATCTCTCTATGGCCTAAAACAGGCTCCTCGGGCTTGGTATCAGCGATTTGCAGAATTTGTTGCCACTATTGGGTTCATTCATAGTAAATCTGATCACTCCTTATTTGTCTACAGACAGGGCTCTGATATTGCTTATATTCTGCTATATGTTGATGATATCATTCTAACAGCGTCTTCGGATCGCTTGCGGAGGCATTTTATGGCTATGTTGGGTTCTGAATTTGCAATGAAGGACTTAGGTCCTTTGAGTTTCTTTTTGGGGATTGCTGTGACTCGTAATGCTAATGGTATATTTTTGTCTCAAAAAAAATATGCTGCAGATATCATTGACAGGGCTGGCATGGCTAACTGTAGCTCATGTCACACACCAGTTGACACGAAATCTAAACTTAGTGCCACTCATGATGCTCCATATGAGGATCCCACTAAGTATCGGTGTCTTGCAGGTGCTCTCCAATATCTCACTTTTACGAGACCTGACATATCTTATGCAGTTCAACAAGTGTGCCTTCACATGCACAATCCGCGCAATGCGCATATGGGTGCTCTAAAGCGTATCTTACGCTATTTACAGGGTACTTTGTCCTACGGTTTGCATCTGTATAAATCTTCTATTGGCAAGCTTGTTTCTTACACTGATGCAGATTGGGGAGGGTGCCCAGACACAAGAAGATCAACTTCAGGTTATTGTGTCTTCCTTGGGGACAACCTGATCTCGTGGTCCTCCAAAAGGCAGCCGACATTATCACGCTCTAGTGCAGAGGCTGAGTATCGAGGGGTTGCTAATGTGGTTTCTGACTCCTGTTGGATCAGAAATTTGTTACTTGAGCTACATTGTCCCATTCAGAAAGCTACCCTCGTATATTGTGACAATGTGAGTGCTATTTACTTGTCAGGTAATCCGGTGCAACATCAACGCACCAAACACATTGAGATGGACATTCATTTTGTTCGTGAAAAGGTCGCTAAGGGCGAGATACGAGTTCTTCATGTTCCATCCCGATATCAGATTGCAGACATCTTTACGAAAGGACTTCCGCGGGTGTTATTCGATGATTTTCGAGACAGCCTTAGCGTACGTGAACCTTCCGCTAAGACTGCAGGGGAGTGTTAGAATATATGTTCAATATATTTTATTTATAGTGTGTATCATTAGTTTGGAATGTATATCTTTGTTTCCTTAATTGTAGCCTAATTGATCTCTTGTAATCTCCTTAATTGTAGCCTAATTGATCTCTTGTAATCATGTATATATTCCACGGTTTAGCAATGAGAAAACGCAAGATTCAATCTCTTTCACCACCAATGATCAATCTCTTTGAGGAGTCAAGAGGAGTTGCCTAGCGTGAAGGACTTTCTGTGTATGCTCTGCATCTCATGGAGCTATCCGAGAGGTCGTCGGCTATATCGATGGTACAAAAGGCGAGGAAAAATGGGCTTCCCTTCTGGAAAAAGGATCAGCGCTCGGATTCCGATCATGTCGTTGTCGCCTTCGAAGCTTTCCAACAGTTGAGCCAAATAACTGTTCGATTTATGACTTCGATCTCTTCAATGGTGAACATGCATGAGGACATATGTTCAACTGCCGATGGCAAGAGAGCCGCGATCATAATCCTTCCATTCTATAAGAACCAGAGAGTTTATGGCTCTTTTGAGACTACTCGCTCATACTTCCGGTGCGTGAACCGGAGGGTGCTCAAACACGCACCTTGTTCAGTTGGAATCCTAGTTGATCGTGGCCTAGGTGGAACCACTAATGTATCAGCTAGCAATGTTTCCTTCCTGATAACCGTGCTTTTCTTTGGCGGCTCCGATGATTGCGAAGCACTTGCTTATGGTATTCGAATGGCTGAACACCCCGGTATCAGTCTAAACATCATTCGCATCGTAGTCGAACCCGAAACAATCGGAGAAATTTCCACAATCGATATGCAAGAAAACAACAGCATCAAAAAAATGTCGTCAGCCGAAGAATTTCTATCTCAGTTCGGGAAAATACTGGAGGACAACTCCGTTCAATTCGAAGAAAAAGCGATCAGAAACGTCACTGAAACGATCGATGCAATTCGTGAAGCAGGGCAGTGCAACCTTTTCCTTGTGGGGAGAATGCCTGAAGGTGAACGGGCCTTAGCTTTATGGAGGAAAAGTGAATGCCCAGAACTAGGACCTGTTGGTAGTCTGCTGATTTCTCCAGATTTGTCTATCACAGCATCAGTTTTAGTCATCCAACAGTACAATGGGTATATGCCTCTTTATTTGGGTCAAGATATGGAAGAATATCACTTGAATGTTTAATTGATTGATAATGTACCGAGATCACTTAATGATTCAAAGAAACTTTATCTAATGTGTTGTCAGAAACATACATGCATACATACACCTCCCGACTAAACATAGATTGTAGGATTAATAGCAGATATATCAATGTTATTAGGGGCTATGTTTATGCGTATAAAACTTTATGAACTATCAAGTATGGAAAAGGTGTGGGGGAGAACTCAAGAATATTCTCTATCTTATCGTTTCTCATCCCCAATGCCATAATCTTGAAACCCAACTCGATTTTATAGGGTCGAATTTTTTCAAAAAAAAAAAAGTTCGGGTCGGGTCGATTTTTTAAGGGGTCGGATCGGGTTCGAATAGAGGATGAGAAAACTCTAATCTGACTCGACCTGAGGATAATAATGTAATTTTTTTAATTTTTTTATTATTATTTTAATTAAGTCCTTATTTTATATAGAGTCGGGTCGGAGTTGGCTGGAGAGTATATATTTTTTGGGTCGAATAAGATGGAGGATATAAATTTTTAGGTCGAGTCGGGTTCGGGTGGAGGATGTAGATCTTTGGGTCAGGTTTGGTTGACTGAAAACCCGACCATAACCCTACTCGTTGCCATCTCTAATCTCGACTGGATTCAGCTTCAATAACTTCACTTATAAATAAGTAGATTAAGGAATGTATTTAGGGATGACATAAGACCCAACTCGACGGGTTCCAAACAGATGCGCATATGAAGACTGCATATGAAGAATGTTTAACTATGTATTTTTTATTTATTTATACATGCATTGCATTTTATCGTTATTTTTAATTTTTTGATTGCCGGAGGTCTTCAACGGAAGCTTCTCTCAACTTGGTGTTGGGGGCAACCTATTACCCTACCTCCCCCTTATCCCATTGCATATGGAATAGGGTTTTGTTGTTGTTGTTGTTGTTGTTTGGGTCGGATTGAGTTCGATTTTAAGATGAAAATAGCTGACCCTACTCGGCTCGAAAAAAATTGTAATTTTACCTTATATATTTAGGGATAATTTCAATAATACCCCTCTATATAATTTTTTTCTTTCAATTAAATCTCTATTTTTATTGAATGTAAATAATATTTTTTAATAAATATATTATTTCTAGTTGTGTCGGATCGAATTTAAAATTTATCTAAAAAAACATAGATTGAGTTCGGATTTAGTTGAAGGTGTATATTTTTTTATCGAATTTGAGTCCGGAGGATGATTTATAATTTTTGAATAGAGCTGGGTGGACCGAAAATTTGGCCCAACCCATGCCCGTCTCTATTTGTATTTCTTAATCATATATCTCAGAAGAAGAAATAAATAGTCGAATTTATAGTATGAATTCAATTATCAAAGGAAGTATTGTGAAAAGCGTTAATAGTTTTTAGTTTAGTTTTAAAATAGAATTAAAGTCTTATATTAATTATGATTTTTAATGGAAAAAATAAATGATCTAAGTATACTTGTATTAGAATTAAAACTAAATTTTTATAAGAGATTAATCACGAAAAAAATTATTTATATTTTTTAATAAAGATAATTTATTGAATGATGTATTTCGATGTATCACATTAGCAGTTGATTTTTGTGTGTAACGTTCATTTTAAAAAATTTCATCTTCGAAGAATAAAAAAACTGCAACTTGCTTTTTCTAAATTAAATTATTCTAAAAATTATATATAATAAAAACTGAATAAAATCACAATATTAACACAACATAAAAGAAAAAAATTGCATTAATAATCTATTATAGAATTCCTAAAATGTTTTTGTCAAAAAAAAAAAACAAATCCTAAAATGTATTAAAGTACCTGATGAAAGTATGAAGTCCATTCTACGCCAAATTGCATTTTTTTTTTTTTGGCAAAATTGATTCCGACTCAAGAACTCGAAAGAAACGATTTAAAAGTAAAAAAAATATTAATTTCCATAAAAAATATGAATTTTAAAAAGTACACATTGTATTTTTATTTCTTTTTATAATTTTAAAAATAAACTGTTAATTTTTATATTTTAAATTTTTTTGAAATTATTTTTCAGAAAATATTACTCAAATGAAATTTGTTAAATGAGAAGTTTAAAATCAGTTAACGCTATCTAATTACACAATGATCATTCATTACCGAATTAGAAGTTTTAATGACCATTGTATAATTTCTGAAAGTTTAATGACTAAAAATTTATTTTAACATAATTTAATAACTACTTATATAGTTTATCCTATTTTAGGGTGACTTTAATTTTTTTTATTAATTTAAGATGATTACAATATAATATTTATTCAAAAACTTTTGACTATAATAATATACGTTCAACTCCTGCAGACGTGGGGCTCCAGACGTGGGGCTCCAGTCAATAAGATCCCATGGGGTTGGATGGGCATATCACTGACTATTCCTTCAACTTGGGTGGGTTTTTTTGGCTCACTAGGCTATGCTAGTAAAAAAAATTTATCCTATCAGGTCATCTTCAAATTATTTTGGGATCTACGATAAATGTTATAGTACAGGGTAAACTCGTCACGTTCACATGACGAATTTCTCCAAATAATTTTTTTAATGAAACTCGTCACGTCGAAATGATGAGTTTCAATAATTTTTATTATATTTGATGAAATTAAAGTGACAAGTTTCAATAAAAAAATAAGATTTTATTAGAACTCGTCATGTCCAAATGACGAATTCCAAATTACTATAATAAATATCGTAAATTTCAAAAAAAAAAAAAATATGGTATCGTATTGAGCTAAATAATTAGCCCGCGTACGATATTAGGTCAATTTTATCCATCTTAGACTGCTTCTTCCATCACATAGCCAACTCTGAGCAACCAATTAATAACAAATTTGTCAATCATCGTTGTTAATTGTTATATATTTTACATTTGAAAAGTATTAGGCGTTGCACTTTAGGTCCAATTACACCAACCAAAACTAAAATCCAATCAGTTCCAATTGAAGTAATAGAATATGCCGCTGATTTAACTCCTGAAATCACTTACAACCTCATTCCAACAGTTTGTTAGTTTCAAAGAGAAGAGGATGCAGAGATTTCTGCTCGTAACAAGTCGAAGAAGGTTGTATCGGTGACTCCAGAAATCGATGCTTCACCAGCGGACAGTAAAAGAAAACAAAAGGACAAAGGTGCCAAATTCTCAAAAACTTTCAAATGTATAACTCCATTGGAATCCAGTAAAGGAGGAGTTGCTCTCAACACTGGAAATTACGAAGCCTTAGCTACATTGACTATTGGGAAAGCGCTTGGAGTCGAATTTAAGGAGACATATAAGGAGGTGGTGATAAGACTGGAGGAATTGGAGGCAGAAACCAGAAGCAGAGGAATTCAGGTGTAGTCTTAACTGTGTGTTCTACCCAATATGAATTTTTGTTTGCTAACATGGAATGTCAGAGGAATGGGGAAAAGAGAGAAAGTTCGTGCGATACAAAAGGTGATCTTGGACAGCAAGGCGAAAATTGTTTGTAATCAAGAAACGAAAATGTCGGTGCTAAATCAAGAAATTCTTAAATGTATCAAAGGCAAGTTCCTAGATGACTGTGTATTGGAACCAGCTGAGGGAGCATCGGGTGGATAAATTGTTAAAACACTAATTCAAGGATACTGGAAAGTTCACTTATATTTCTATGTATCATAAAATAATACAGCCAGTGTATTTATACAATAACTAGGCATCTAACTAACTTGTAACTAACCAAAAACAAATTAACTAATTCTCTAACTGTACAAAAAATAATCAGCTACAACTGTTTTCTACACTCCCCCTCAAGTTGAGGGATTAAAACATTTTTCATCCCCAACTTGCCCACCAAATAGTTGTGTTGTTGTATCCCAAGTGCTTTAGTTAAAATATCAGCAAGCTGTTCTGCAGATGATACATACTCAGCTTTGATCAGACCTTCTTGTATCTTTTCTCTAACAAAATGGCAATCTATGTCAATGTGCTTAGTCCGTTCATGAAATACTGGATTTGCTGAAATTTGTAATGCTGCTTTGCTATCACTGTACAGCTTAGTTGGCCTCAAAAATATCAGATTGCAGTTCCTTCAAAATGCCATTTAACCAGACTATTTCAGCTGTAACCATTGCCATACTTCGATATTCAGCTTCTGCCGATGATCTTGCCACTGTATTTTGTTTCTTTGATTTCCAGGATATCAAAGAATCACCTAACTTTATGCAAAAAACCAGTAACTGATTTTCGTGACATAGGGCATGAAGCCCAATCAGAATCACAGTATGCTGACAGTTGATTATTGCTTGTTTTCTTCAACAATATCCCATGTCCTGGTTCCTTCTTCAAATATTTGATAATTCTCAATGCTGCCTCTAAATGTGTTTTCTTCGGTTGTTGCATAAACCGACTAAGATGATGAACAGCAAATGTAATATCTGGCCGAGTATGCGTTAAGTATATTAGCCTTCCAATTAACCTTTGAAAAATTAACTTCTCTTCAACCAGTACTTCATCTTCCTTTTGCTGCAAATGTTCATCATATTCTGTGGAGGTAAGCTTTAAATTTTGCTCTAAAGGGGTCAAGGCTGGTTTGACTCCTTCAAGACCAGTTTCCTTTAGCAATTCTAAAGCATATTTCCTCTGATTTAACACAATCCCTTCTTTTGACCTTAAGACCTCAAGTCCTAAGAAGTATTTCAATTCTCCCAAATCTTTCATCTTAAAACTGCAATTTAACATGTCTTTCAACTCATTGATTAAGACTAAATCATTACCAGTTAACAAAAGATCATCTACATAAATGAGTATTACCACCAATCTGTCACCCTCCTTTTTTGTAAACATTGAGTAATCAAACTTACTCTGCTGATATCCTGCCATTACCAATGCTTCAGTGAGCTTCAAATTCCACTGTCGTGAAGCTTGCTTCAAACCATAGAGAGATTTTTGCAGCCGACAGACCATATTCTCCCCCTGGCTGCTAAAACCCTCAGGCAACTTCATGTATATATCCTCAAAGAGATCACCTTGCAGAAAAGCGTTATGCACGTCCATTTGAAAAAGAGGCCAGTCATTCATGGCAGCAAGAGCAAGAACAGTCCTAACAGTGACTAATTTTGCTACAGGAGAAAACGTCTCAATAAAATCAACACCCTCCTTTTGATTGTAACCTTTAGCCACAAGACGTGCTTTGAAACGCTCAATTGTGCCATCAGCTTTATATTTGACACGGAAAACCCATTTACAACCAATGGGAGTCACTCCTTGAGGCAAAGGCACTATAGACCAAGTACCATTGAATTCTAATGCTTGAATTTCTTCTTGCATGGCTTTAATCCAAACCGGGTTAGAAATAGCTTCAGAATAGGATTGTGGTTCAATAATGGATGAAGTGGTAGCAAGAAAATGTTGTGTATGAACAGGCAAATGATCATAAGAATCATTATGAATAAGGGGGTACTTACAAGTGGAAGAAGAAGAGGAAGACTGGTTGGAACACACATAATCTTGTAGCCATGTAGGAGGTCTAGATGCTCGAGAAGACTTACGCAATGGAAGAACAGAAGGTTCTGATGATTCTGGTAAAACTGGTGAAGAGGGATCATCATGAGAGATAGAAGGTTGGGATAGAACCAAGAATTCATCATCATTTTGATAGGTTTGAGTAGGAAAGAAAGAACCAGACTGTTGAGGGAAACTGAAAGGAAAAACAGACTCATGGAAAACAACATCACGATTGACAAAAAAAACTTTTTTTTCAAGATCAAATAAAATGTAGCCTTTTTTAGTAGAAGAATAACCAAGAAATACTGAAGGAATGGCTCGTGAAGCGAATTTATCATTTAAATGTGTCTGAGTGGCATAGGCAAGACAACCAAACACACGAATGTGAGATAAGGAAGGGGTTTTTTTATATAACAATTCAAAAGGAGTTAGCCAAGATAGAACAGAGGAGGGTAATCTATTTATCAGATAACAAGCAGCAAGAACACATTCACCCCAAAACTTTAAAGGAACTTTAGAATGAAATCTTAAAGCACGAGCAACCTCAAGTAAATGTTTATGCTTACGCTCAGCTACCCCATTTTGTTGAGGAGTACGGACACAACTCGACTGATGAATTATGCCAAGAGAAGAAAACAAAGGGGAACAAACCGAATTGAAGAATTCGGATCCATTGTCACTACGAATTATTTTAACAGAAGTAGAGAATTGATTGTTAATCATCAAGAAGAAGGCTTTTAAATGAATAACAACATCACTTTTAAGTCGTAATAAAAACACCCAAGTCATACGACTAAAATCATCTACAACCGTAAGAAAATAGCGATGTCCACTATGAGTAGAAATTCCATAGGGACCCCAAAGATCTATGTGAAGTAATTAAAATAGGTGTTAGGTTCTAGAAGTACTTAAAGGAAATGGCAAACGTGTTTGTCTAGCCATAGGACATATAGAACAATGTTGTACATCAATAGGACTAAACTTAATAGATTGAAGAACAGACAACTTGTGAATTTTATTAATGGTAGCATGCCCAAGTCTAGCATGCCAAAGTTCAGTAACAGTAGGAGAATGACGACTTACAGACTGACAAACAAAAGAATTCAAAAATGAAGAAACATGAGCAGAAGATAAAGGCAAACCCGAGGATGCAAAAGAAGACTCGAGCAAGTAGAGACCTCCACGTTCCTTACCAATCCCCTTGATCTTTCCACTGAAGATGTCCTGCAAAATACAAAATGCAGGATAGAACGAAACAACACATTGAAGCTCATTGGTTAGTTTAGTGATAGACAAAAGGTTATTTCTAAAGTCAGGGACAAACAAAACATTGTGAATAATATGGTCTTTGCTAAGGATGTAAGAGCCAGTATGAGTAATGAGGGCTTTTTTACCATTAGGAAGATGAACAAACCTATTTTTAGAAGCACATGCAACAGGATTTGTCAAGCAAGAGAATTCAAACATAATATGATCAGTAGCACCAATGTCCAAGATCCACTGTATAGAAGAAAGAGTACATGAAGCTTGTCCCACAAGATTAACCGAAGACTCGGAAGCTGGAGCTGGATGCAACAAACTCAATATCTGGTTATACTATTCTTGAGTAAATACGGGAGCAGTGGACACAGGAGGAACAGGAGAAGGAATATGATCTTCAAGTTTACCAGTAAGAGAAGCGGAAGCATCTTTCTTCCGATCAAACTTGAAATTAGTAGGAAACCCTATCAATCTGTAACACTGGTCTTTTTTGTGACCTTTAATTTTACAATGGTCACAAGTTCCATTGAATCGGCGTCGACCCGTACTACCAGAAGATGCAGAAGAATTAGAATAAAAAACCGTTGAATCATGGGTCAAAGGTATACCAGTAGAATGCGATCGCTGCGACTCTTCTTGAACCAGCATCGAATAAGCTTGATTGACATTTGGTAACGGCTGCATTAGGAGGATCTGGCTACGCACAGCAGAATATGATTCATTCAATCCCATTAGGAATTGAAATAAACGTTGTTGAAGAGCATTAGCAGTATTCTGCTGTGCATTGTCACAATCGCAGGAAGGAAGAGGTACCAAAGCACCATACTCGTCCCACAGGAGCTTCAATTTTGTGAAATACGACGAAATTGAAGAATCTCCTTGAACCAGAGTTGCAATTTCTCGGTGTAGAAAATAAACCCGAGAACCATCCACCTTGTCAAACCGCTCTTTCAAATCGGACCATACAAGGGCAGCACTCGAGGAAAAAACAATACCTGCTGAGAGATCCTTGCTGACCGAATTAATTAACCAGGAGAGGACAATCGCGTTGCAACGATCCCACTGCGATTGAAGCTGTTCCATGAAATCAGACCGACGACAAACCCCATCAATGAACCCTAACTTATTTTTTACGAGGAGGGAGATGCGCATTGACCGACTCCAGACGCTGTAATCATGAACTCCAGTGAGTTGGTGAGAAACAAGAACAGCCCCTGGCGCATCGGATGGGTGCAAATACAGGGGGTGCGTGAAATCAATCTCCAAAGCTTCCTGTGGAGGCATCGCGAAGAGAAACAAAGAAAAAGAAGAAACGCAGAGAGCAGGAATTGGGAAACTTGCGCAGAAACAAGAGACAAAAAATGGACTTAGCGTGAAGGAAGCCCAATAACCCAAGAGCCCAGAAATGAACCGTCTGATACCATGTTAAAACACTAATTCAAGGATACTGGAAAGTTCACTTATATTTCTATGTATCATAAAATAATACAGCCAGTGTATTTATACAATAACTAGGCATCTAACTAACTTGTAACTAACCAAAAACAAATTAACTAATTCTCTAACTGTACAAAAAATAATCAGCTACAACTGTTTTCTACATAAATAACTTTATG